AGAAAGAGAAGGAGTGAGGGTGGAAGGAGAAGAGGAAGGGTAGGAGTAAGGGAGAGGGAAGGGAAGAAGGAAGGGGAAGGAAAGGAGGATTTGCTGCTGGATTTTCCAACATGCTCAACATGGTTTCGTTTAAAAAAAAGTTTTATTTATTTTTTATTCTCTTACATACCATTGTTAAGTATACCTTCACATAATTGCTGTTCTTCTTTGCATTTGTCGTTCTTATACATTTGTTATTCCATTTAATAGGTTATAATATACAATTTGGGTTGCTTTATTTACCATTCCTTCCGCCTGTTGTAACACCACCTTATTTTCCCTTTCTTTTCTCCCTCCCCCCCTTCTCTACTTTCTTCCTTCCTCCTTTCCTTCCCCTTCCTTCTTCCCTTCCCTCTCCCTTACTCCTACCCTTCCTCTTCTCCTTCCACCCTCACTCCTTCTCTTTCTCTCCCTTCCACCTTCCTCTCCTTTCCCTTTCCTTTCTCCCTCCCTTCTCTACTTCCTTCCTTCCTCCTCTCCTTCCCCTTCCTTCTTCCCTTCCCTCTCCCTTACTCCTACCCTTCCTCTTCTCCTTCCACCCTCACTCCTTCTCTTTCTCTCCCTTCCACCCTCCTCTCCTTTCCCTTTCCTTTTCCCCTCCCTTTTCTACTTCCTTCCTTCCTCCTCTCCTTCCCCTTTCTTCCCTTCCATCTCCCTTACTCCTACCCTTCCTCTTCTTCTTCCACCCTCACTCCTTCTCTTTCTCTCCCTTCCACCCTTCTCTCCTTTCCCTTTCCTTTTTCCCTCCCTTCTCTACTTCCTCCCTTCCTCCTCTCCTTCCTCCTCTCCTTCCCCTTCCTTCTTCCCTTCCATCTCCCTTACTCCTACTCTTCCTCTTCCCCTTCTACCCTCTCTCCTTCTCTTTCTCTCCCTTCCACCCTCCTCGGCTTACCTCTTCCTTCCTTCCCTCCTCTTCCTCTTCTTCTCCCCTCCCCTCCTCTCCCCCTTTCTTTTTCTGTTCTTGTCTCTTTCAAATCTCACTTTATGTTGTCTTGGGATAGTATTCCCGCAAAGTCTTTTTTTGGAGGGTGGGAGGCTTGGTCTACCTCTGCACTGCGCCTGTAGTTTGGGAGGGTCTGTCTGGGTGGAAGGAAGCCCCCCCCCCCCAGCCCTGGGGCTCCCGAGGAGAGGAGGGATGGTTGCACAGAGACGCCGCCTGGGGAGGAAAGGCGAGGCAAGGCGGCGCTCGGTGCCGCCTCCTCCTCCTCTTCTTCTTCCTCCTCCTCCTCGCTCCTCGGAGGGGCGGCTCCGGGCTGCATATAAGCGGGACCCACTGGCCGCCTGCCGCAGTGCCCTCTCCGACGGCGCGATGCTAAGCTACGGCGCGGAGGTGCTATTCGGCGGCGGCGGCCCTATGGTTTATCGCAAGGATGCCGGGGGCGGCTTGCGCTCAGCCGGCCCGGCGGGGCTCTCGCGCTCCGGGGTCGGTTCCTTGTCCTCCAGCGGCTTCCACTCTCAGGGCTGGTCCCGCTCCTGGGGCTCAGCTTCCCGGCGCCAGCTGGGCTCGTCCACCGAGAGCCTGGAGTCGCTGAACGGCGAGTTGCGCGGGGGGCGCAACGAGAAGGAGGTGCTGCAGTCGCTCAACGACCGCTTCGCCGGCTACATCGACAAGGTGCGCGCCTTGGAGGAGCAAAACCGGCAGCTGGAGGGCGAGGCGGCTGCGCTGCGCCAGCAGCAAGCCGGCCGCTCGGCGCTGGGCGAGCTGTACGAGCGCGAGATCCGGGAGATGCGCGGCGTGCTGGTGAGGGCCAGCAACGAGAAGGGGCAGCTGCGGCTGGAGCAAGAGCGGCTGGAGGAGGAAGTAGGGGCGCTGCGCCAGCGGCTGGAGGACGAGGCCCGTCTGCGCGAGGAGAACGAGGCGGCCGCCCGCGCCCTGGCTAAATTCACCGAGCAAGCCCAAATGACCAAAGGCGACCTGGAGAAGAAGCTGGCATCCCTGCGCGAGGAGAGCGTCTTCCTACGCCGCAGCCACGGCGACGAGGTGGCCGAGCTGCTGCGCCAGATCCAAGGCGGCGGGCCGGCCGCCGTCTTCGAGATGCGCGAGTTGCCCGCCGTCCAGTCCGACGTCACCTCGGCGCTCAAGGAGATCCGCGCTCAGCTGGAGGGACATGCCTTCAAGAGCTCGCTGCAGTCCGAGGAGTTTTTCCGAGGTGAGTCGGGGGGGGGGGGCACTGGAAGAAAGGGGAGGGGTGGGTGGGGACACCCTGGGGTGGGGAGGGGCGCCAGGCTCCCTACTAGGGATGAGTCAAATGCTCCCTGAAGCGCCGGAAGGCAGGAATGGTTTTTAAGAAGAGAGAGAACAATCGTTTGCCTGAAGTGATACAGCAATAACCCTTAGACTTATATGCCGCTTTACAGTGCTTTAAGCGGTTTACAGAGTCGGCCTCTTGCCCTCAACAATCTGGGTCCTCATTTGACCCACCTCGGAAGGAGGGAAGGCTGAGTCAACCTTGAGCCGGTCAGGATCGAACTGCCGGCAGAATTAAGTATAGGGTTGCCTGCTTGAGCAGGGGGTTGGACTAGAAGACCTCCAAGATCTCTTCCCACTCTGTTAATTCTGCCCCCGCTCGTGTTTAAGGGGGAGGGAAGGCTGAGTCGCTTAGGAGTTGGGCGGCTTATATATTCAATATAAATCATAGCATCATTAGTTGATATTGATAGAAGCCTAGAGACCCGAGGCAGAATGCGGGGCTTGGGGGCGGGAGGGGGGGGGGGCCCCCCAATCCGGATTTGGGGGGGGGGGGCGAAACAATTGCGCGGAAAGAGCAGGGCACAGGGCAAGTGCCAGGGCCTGGGTTAAATATCTATCAACCCCCTTAATTCCCCCCCCCGTGAGGTTGAATGGGTGCTTATAAGAGGGGAGGAGGGAAATGAGGGGTGCGTCATTCAAGACCCCCCCCCCTTCCTTTCCCCTTGCCTTCCCCGTAACTTTTAAGTGGGGGGGGGGGGGGGGAGAGAGAAGACTATAAAACGGATTGGAGTTGTTGTAGGACGCTCCAAGTCGCAACTCTTAAAACGGACGCAAGCGGAAGGGCGAACCTACCTAACATCTGAACGTCGGGAAATGATTTCGATGACTCGACTGAATCGATCCATCGGGCCAAGAAGACACGGGCCAAAAATTGCTGTGCAAAGCTGAACTCTCCCCACCCCCCCCACTCCTACGGAGTGACCTTGCGGGAAAGTGTTGGACGCGGAGGGGGTGGGGGAGTTGCGCTCTGAAAACGGGGTCAAATTGTTCCGAGAGAGACAGTTCAGACGACCTCCGAATGAAAGCTTTGTAATGAAGAGGCTCAAAGGAAACACGCTTCCCCCAGTCAGTTTCATTCACTCTCCTCCACGTTTTTATGCATTTTTTACTTGGGTGTGTGTGTGTGTCTGTGTAACACCCCCCCCCCCCAGCCTTGTACATTTTAGCGAGGGATGGAGGCGTTAAACTCCCCTCAAACTTGGGGGAAGAGAGACGGCTCATCATCTCAGACTCGGGGGGCGGGGTGGGGGCGAGAAAAGGCAAAGGCGGATGAGTGAGGGGTGACCGCCAGGGGTCCCGCACCCTTGACTGACCCCAAGTTGGCAGGGGGCTTTCTCTCCGAGAGACAAAAGCCAGCCTCTCTTAATGGGGTGTCCTGTCTCCCCACTGCGGAAGAGAGGGAGCGTCGCCCCCTCACCCCTTTCCCCGGACTGCGGGGGTTGGTTGCGAAGAGCAGGGGGGGAAAGCAGCGAGGAGGCGGGGACCAGAGAAAAATGAAAGTAAAGAAAAATCGCAACCAGCAACCCATAGGATCTGCGCAGAGGTGGGCGGGCGGGGGAATAGGGTTCTGCTGTGTTTTGGGGCTGGGAGGGGAAGGAAAAAATTGGTTGCGTCCCTGCTGGTCCCCGTCCCCCCCCCCCGGCCCGGGTGGATGGGGGGGAGACACATAGGCAAGTGTGTGTGTATGTGGGGGGGGGGTCCCTTTGGATTTTGCTCAGGCACGGGGGGGGGTGTGCGCCAACCTGTGATGCCGCAGTTTTAGGCTGGCAGCGGCCGGCAATTGGAGGGCAAACTCCCTCCCGCAGTTTTTTCGTTTGGGGGGGGCGTGTTGGGTGGGTGCAAGGAGGGGCCAGACTGGTGCAGCGTGACTTGCCTCCTTTGCCACCCCTCCCTCCCCATCTTTGCAGACACTCCACCCCCACCCCCTCGTCTCCTTCCCCTTCCTATATTCGGCCAGGCGCCAGCTAGGATGGAGACGTGGGAAGGGGGCGGGGAGGGGTGATTTAAAGCGGAAAGGGGGGGGGGGGGAGAGGAAGAATGATGGGGGGAGGGGGGGGGGGAGGGGTGATTTAAAGCGGAAAGGGGGGGGGGGGGAGAGGAAGAATGATGGGGGGAGGGGGGGGCGGGGAGGTTGATG